GCTGGGCTCCGGTGTCTGTGAGGAGTTCCACCAAAGGTGACAGGTTACAATCCTGTCTTTTTCTTTTTTTTTTTTTACTTTTGCTAATAGCATTACATCCTGCACTGAAAAAAATCTGTTCCATACCCTTCAAAGTTATGCCTTTCCTCAGTGGGTTAAGCCTCCATGCTTGTGACAGGGGGTTGCCAGTTCAAATCCCGTGGTTGCAGAATAGTCGCATCACCATTGGGCCCTTGAGCAAGGCCCTTAATCCCTGAAAAATGCTTCAGGGCCTCCGGATAAATGGCTGACACTGTGCTGATGCCAAGCTTCATTCTCATCTGTATACGTTTGTACGTCTTAAAGGTGAGCAAGATGGGATATGTGAAAACTAAAGAATTCCCATGTACCTGTACTCATAATTGTGCCAATGGCAAATAAAGTTTCATGTTATTTTTTTCCCCCATTTCCTTCACTAGTTTCTGAAAACCAGCTGCAAACATTTTGCCATGCAAATCACATCTCAGGACGCCCTCACGTCCCAGGACACCGAGATCAGTAAAAAAAAAAAAAATATATGCAAACGGGCTTTGCGATATAAGCCAGTCACCTTAATTTGCATGTGTTGAGAGGAACAACACATCACCAGACAAGCCCTAGATCGGAGGATATGCTCGCAAACCGAGCCTCACTGTAATCTTAATGCTTGTTATCACTAGAATTTGATATAATGCTTCGCTTGTTCTACGTTATTGTTACTGCTGACGTAAAGCTTTTTTTTTTGTTTAGATAAATGCAAATACCATGGGCATCATACTTGTTGACTATAGCAATGAGCGCCAGCCAGTCACGACCATTTGTTCTCTGCAAATTTTCTCTACATTTTTATGATTTAGGACACAAGGCTATAAGATATGCATTTACTAAATTGGATCTTAATTCTGCTTATACCTTGACCTGTCATAACAATCTCACTGTGTAAAACTGCAGCCCAAACACATTCTGTAGCACACACATATCAGCATTTTACTTTAAAACTACTACTACTATTTTACTAAGACTACAACATGATGGGCCAGATATTTCTACAGACCTAGAGATCTAAAGACCCTCGTAATATCCTTTGGGCAAATTAAGTAATAATGTCTGTCTATCTGTCTACCTGTTTGTCTCTGACTGGCTGCATACCTGGATTCATGTCCGCCTGCGTGTCTGCGTGCCCGTCTGTCTGCATGCATGCCTGTCTGTGGTCCTGTTTGCATGCCAATGTTTCTGTCTGCGTTCCTCTCTGTGTGCCTGTCTGCGTGTCTGTCTGTATGTCTGTAAGACAGCTTGTCTTGTGTGCTATTCTGCCTGTCTACCTTGCTGCGTGCCAGTCTGTCTGAATGCATGCATATATCTCTGTCTGGATGCCTACCTGGCTGCGTTCCTGTCTGTGTACCTGTCTGCCTGGGCACAGAAACTGCGCAGCAGTGCCCAGAAAGCCCCCCCCCACACCACGTACAGCCACGTGGAACCCAACCTTCACAAGGCACTCTCCTCCCTCCGTCTCTCGCTAACCCCAGGCTGGCACAGCACCAGCGCCGAAAAACAAAAACAAACAAGCAGCAGCTGTAGTGGCCTGCGAGATGGGTGCCCGACATATGGCAGGGCATGGTAAAGGATGGATGCTGTCAGGAGCAGAGTGCTTAAAAAGAAAGAGAAAAACAGAGGAAGAAAAAAGAAAAAGCCGAACATCAGCACAGAGCTAATTTATTCCACAGAAGTCGTTTCCCTGCTAGGCACGATTTAGGGGCAGGCACAGGGGGAGAGGAGACGCTGTATATATATCCCAGCAACTTTCTGTATTCTGTTTGGCTTCTTGTTATTAAGTTGCTAATACAGGCGCTGTGTAAAGCAGGCACTCTGTCGGCACAGGTGTCGCTAGCAATGCATAAATCAGACGGAAGAGCCGACGGCGAGAAACGATGCTGGAGGCCGGTGCGGGGGGGGGGGAGGCTGAAAGCGAGACCAGAGGAGCGTAAACAGGCGGTTTACTGCAAACATGGCAGCGAATAGAGCGACGGCACTCAATTTCCTGAGCTTATTTCTCACATGGAGCAATGACACCACCTCAGTTTGGTTCTAAAAGCAACCTCACATCTACAGTTCAGTGGGTGATGAAAGCTATGAAAATAAAACACAACTTCTGTATTAGACAGGGGGAAGGTCTCAGGACAAGTCAGTCAGTAATGGTGGCCAGCGCAATGGCTTTAATAGGGACAAACTCCTCATTAAACAGCTCCAGGTGTCCAGGAGCTCCGGCTGAGACAGAATTCCGTGTGCATTTGCTGAAAGGCACAGTGGCAGGTCCCCTGAGATGCCACTAAGTGCCCCACAGAGCTTGACGCCAAGACCAAGTGGACGTGCCTTAAATGAGCCGACACCATTTAAATACAGCAGCCGGAAATATCGGATCATAAAGTCATTCTCCATTAACCAAAATCCCGTATATGACTCATTACACTGAATGCTTGTTGGACGTATTTACAGATCAGGTCTTATATTGTTATGAATCAGTGTTTCTATATACACAAGTATTTTTTTATATATAAAACAAATCTGTACATAAATACACATTATACAATACATACAGAGATAAATATATAAAAAAGACATCCACATCAGTACAAGCATTTATCTGAATCATCACTGACCAGGAGCAACACAGTTAATACTGAAAAGTAATAAAGGTTATTCAATTTACCTGTAATAAAAAACACTAAACTAAATGCCACCGAGATAGTAAATTAGTTCCAAATACCTCAGGAAAGAAATGCAATAAAGCAATTTCAGTACAAAAAAATGACGTGCCAATAAGATTCAGGAATATAAGCTGAATGATAAGTAACCGGCCAATTCAATGGGCTCTCCAAGACCAAAGAGTGTGGGAATCTCACTCGTGACATGACAGAATGGTAGCAGGCATGCAGGATATTAGACAGCAGGCTCTTCATTTCTCATCTCAAAACGTCAACTGCAGGCCCCAATGACATTCCTCCATTTGCCAGAACAGCTCAATTATTGGTCTTGCATCACTCTCGCAATATTTATTGGAAAAAATTCTTCTCACTGGCTATAATTTTTTATATATACACATTTGAAAATGGCTTTGGCATTGATAAATCATGCCAACCAATACTAACTACTGCATAAGTGGCTACTACTATCAGTGATACTATTAGTAAATCAGTACGAAACAGCCCTCTGATCAAGTGGCTCCATGTTTGGGAGCAGAGCTGCAGACTTGGCCTGGCTCTACTTTAGGACCGTCTGCAAAGGAAAAGTATCTCCCCAAGGCCTGAAAGTCCCACATTGACTGCTGTCTCCAGAATTGATGAGAATGCACAAGAAATGCAGAGGATGCTGGGTAACCTGTAAGACACTCGAAAGCCTGTGGATGGCTGGCTGGCCTTTAGGTAGCCAATGCACACTTGCCTACTCCAACCCCCCCATTTCAACTTTGAGCCCCCAGGTGTCAATGACCCCTCATTTGATGGCCTTTAATAAGACTCCACGAGTTCCACGTCTCCATCTCACCCCTGAAAACTTCAAGGCCATCTGCAACTATACCCCTAGGGTTAATTATAATTGTTTTAAACAGCCATCTCACTTTTTAAACATTTATGGATGCATGCATAACACGGGCAGATTAGCATATCCATGGAGTTCACTTCACAAAAGCGGCATTATACATGGCGCTAGTTAAAATATACTTCTGGAATTAAACGGACATAGGTACCCCATGGGTAAGGATTCTCCAAGTTTCAATTCATTTGTAAGGGGAGTGGAGAGCGTTGCGGTCAGCCATGCACGTGCAAAGTGGCCGTGGAGCAGCAGGGTTATGGCCTCACTAAAACTGACATTTCGGCAGCCCTGCTTTCCAACAAAGGACTTCAGAGTCCTCTGACTGTGACATCAGTCGCAACAGCAGTGACCCAGCTAACTATCAATTATAAATGGAACAGTAACAAAGACTCATGTGATGCCACTGAAGCTTATGCACAATCCACAAAACACAAGAGCAATGAAATAACTAAGATAACTGAATAGTTTTTCAACCCCGGCTGATTAAAATCAAAAAAATTTTAAAAGCAGCCATCTACTGTGACATTATCAGCCTCTAGTTTAAAAGAAAACCATTTTAAAATCACACAAACACAAGCTGCCTCATTAATAATACTCAGCCGATGCCATACATAGAATACTAGGAGTGACCTGCATGTGAAGTCTATAAAGGAGCTAATCATGATAATGAATTATCAAAGTCATATCTTAATATATCTTAAACCATATCTTACTATCGTAAACTTGCAATTAAAATAAAACAGAAGGCTGTTTTATTATGGCAACATCCAATCAGATATGATGGTAATTATGTAAAAAGGATAAAATACAAGCTGTGCCAAAAGACAAAGATCACCAATTCATTTTCTTCAGTAATCTAATAAGAAAAAAAATTAATTTTTCATAAAAGCTGCACATCTCCTTAGTGTATACACACAGCCTCCCGTGTTGTATGTAATATAAGAGGCTGGTGATGGCAAATCCTACCTCACAGAAGAGGGTGAGCTTGTCATCAGGGAGCAGCCCGTTGGCCTCATCCAGCAGGAAATCTCGGCGGATGAACTTCTTGAAGCCCCAGTCCTTGCCCTGAACGAAGCGGTAGGCCCTCTGGCTCTCTGTGTAAAGTGTGGGGTGGGGGGGGGGGGGGGGGGGAAAATATTCAGTGATGTTACTTTGTAATATGATAACATGACAATAACTCTATAAAGATTTTTTTTTTTAAACTGTACTTGCCATAAACGGCCATAGTTGAAGAGTCATCCTGAATTACTGACAGGACCATTTAGCTGAAGAGACGCACCATGGACTGGCATGAAGGCTAGCTCCCCCCCCCGCAAAAACTCACACACTTCAAACACTGCCTCACGAGGCATTTCCCAACTTGCACCCTGGGGTCACACCGGCGGAAGACTGAGCAACTCACTGGTGTAGGACACTGACGGAGGATGGGAGCACCCCATAGGTCAGTGGGGGACGCATTTCTCTTGGGGGGTGAGGTTTCCTGAACTCTGTGTCAGTCAAGGTCGCAGACCATGTCAGGGAGGAGGAGGGGGAAGAGACTCCTATGGCATTTTAGCACGCTGACATGCTGCTTTTGAAGGTGACGAAAATGGGACGGTAACTCTGCGCGATGGAATGCCGAGGAGCCATGCCATGAAGCACGATCCCGCCAAAGTCATCAGTACAGACTTCAAGAATGTGCACTAATGTATCAGTGACAGTCACAGACATCGATAGGCATGGGGAGGGGAATTTAAAGCAAATCACAAACAGCCACGAAAAGCACATGAAACAGCCACTTGCTTGCTGTAGTTCCATTTGTGAGCCGTTTTTAATAAATTTCTTTCTCATGAACCTGACCTTGTCGCCATTCTTTGGTTTTTGACAAATGCCTGATCCCACTCCGTCTCGTTACTTTATTAATAGACAATAAAATAAAGGCGGTTCCTCCTCCAAAGGCCCCCAGATGCTGGCTGCCCAGAGTTGCCACAGTGCTCCTCACACAAGGTGACACTGAAACAGTCACACATAGCAGAGTAATGGGCTCCGAACAGCCCTCTGCCTGTTTATCTGACAAGGGAGCGCCGGCCAGGGCTGAGGCTGCTTATCAACGAGCCCGAATCGCAACACGCAGCGCTCATAAGCATTATAAAGTGTGTCCCTGGGCCCGAATCAGCTTTATTTGGATGAGCAGCAGCGTGCTTCTCTGAGGGGTTGGAGCTCCGTGGCTTCCAATGGCGACAGTTTTGTGAGAAGGGAAAAAACGTCCCACTGCAGCAGAAATCGCCAGGCAGGGGTTTCGGTTTCTGTGGCACCCTGTGAAAACAGCTCACCTCCTAAAAGCTGCACTCTGCTGCAGCGTATGGGCTCGGCCCCCATTGACTCACAGGCTGTAATAACTGGGCTGGGGAGTGAGACTTTATCATGAGGGAGGCTAAAGGCCAATTCATACTTCACTTTTCCATGTGCCCCAGTAGTGGACGTGACGTAAATATCATCATCAGGGGTTGGCTGCGGACGGCTGTGGTGTGTGCGCATGTAGCCCAGATTTTCATGCCTTTGGGAAACCTTGCATGTCAACTGCGCATGTGCAAAATAATTGACTAGGTATATCCAGTAGGTGGCATGTATGTAAAGTTTGTCCTATTTGTTCAACTCAAAATAATAAGTATCAATAGCTCTGGGGACCACTTCCATATTGGCTCAAGATTAATAATATATTACTACAGAGCCGCTAAGAAGTCAGGGTGAGGAAATATCTTTTGAAATAGTTTTACGTTCCCTCGTAATACTTAATTTTCCATTATTAGTACAGTAGAGTCTTGCTTATCCGACATTCTGTATTATCCGACATCCCATCGCAAAAAAAAAAAAAAAAAACGCATCAGTTGGCAACAAGAACTTTAAGTTGCGAGCGTGAGCGTAGTCTATTTTTTGTTAATCCCGACTCTACTGCAGCTAATTATTTAGTAGTTACCCCGACTGTACAGTGGCGCGCCCGTCTACACTACGACTCATGTGTCTGTCATTCGCCCCACCCTCACTCACTCACTGTCACAACTCACTACTCAGAGTAGTACAGTTTATCATTGTATGTCGATCGGTTTATCGTGTTACTTGCGTATGTGTCTGTGGGTGTTAATTTGACAAACGTTGTGTTGTTTAAAAGGAGAAATTTACGCAAATACAGTAATATGGAGACGAAAAGAAAGAAAGTTGTATCGATGGAACAAAAACTTGAGGCAATGTGTAAAATTATAACATAGTTTGATGTTTAATAGGCTTTGTCTTAACACCTCCAATTATCGGACATTTTTGCTTATCCGACGTTCTGCCGGCCCGTTTATGATGGATAAGCAAGAATCTACTGTAATAACTGTAAGGAGTCTAAAGTAAAACACACATAATTAATCGACTAATAATATAGAGCTAAATGATACAGACATGTCCAATTAAGTCGATCTGCTTTAAGCATTAAACTATGAGAGACAACACACAACATGTAACTTTCATATGTGTGTATTTATAAGTATTTATTTAAAAAATGTACTGTGTCAGTTTTATCCTTGCTGTCACATTGCAGCAAATAGCAAGTGGACAAGTGTAGTTGGATCGCAAAAGTATTGCATGGGAGAAACGTGATCGGGCAGAGGTAAAAATATTTAGTGTCCAAATTGTTGGTGAGACAAAGCCGACCACTGTTAAGTAGCATTAACAAAAGAAAGTTATATTTATTTTAAAAACCTGAGAAAACTTGAAACTTGTGATAATAAAGCGCACCTCATCCTGCTTTTGTGTAAGCTTCAAGCTTGTGTAAGACATCTGCCCTTTGCTGGTCTGGAGGAATACAACTGCAGTATGCATACGCCGACCGCAACCATCCAAATCCACAGCATAAACACAAGCTGTCGAACATCTCCAGACCGCATATGGAAAGCGTAAAGTATGACCTAGGCTTTAAGGCTGGTTCATACTTTGGACAAGCACAACACTCGCATATGCTTATGCATACAATGTTCATACTTCTCCGGTCAAGCAGGGTACTTTGCACATGCGCACAACGTGTTGTATTAATTATTATACTGACATTCCCTGCACACGTACCATGGCAGTGACGTTTGTGTCCATTTCTCTATGTTTTACAAATTCAGAGAGCCAACTGACACGGTTGCCAACTTTGGTCAGCTGGCTGATGTGAGATTTTTAATTTGATACAAGTCTGCACTCACACACACACACATGCATTTACATGGATGTAACGGTTTTCTGACCTTGTAAATAGTCTGCAGGGTTTGTAAACTACCCCAACGCTCGTCAAAAGCATCCATGATGGTATTTAAAGGGGACAAATCAATCATGCACAGTGTGTCCAGAGCTGCGCGTAAACCACTGCGCGGACACAAGTGCAGCGGGCGTTCATCCACAGAGGCGCACAATGATGTCAAACACGCGATTAAAAGTTAGATCGGACGAATCCGCTAGTACGCCTGCAGAAAAGTATGAACCAGTGTTAAGGGACAGCCAGGGCACTGACACCCGTGGGCTGTGTGAAATCCCAGCAGTGAGGGAGGGGAAAACATTTTTTAAGCTTTCAGTTAATTCAAGAAACAGACCACAAAAGTGTACACAAATTTCATAACAAAAATGGGAGCTGAACTTCCATTTCATTCAAATGTACAGTTAAATCCACAATATAAAACACTGAGAATTAAACTCCAAGCTATATTACCAGATTTCTGTTAAACATGAGAAAATGATCAGTCACTGCACAGAAATGTTGCTGCTTTAACTCAGGATAATCATATCATAGATCTGAATATACAGAACACCACACAAATGTATGATACCAATAAACTGTAAAAAAACAGGTAGTATATCACTGAAACATTCACCACGTACCACTGCCAGAAGTATTGCTTCACAGACACATGAGTAACATCAAGAATCTAGAACAACATGTAAACAGTAAATGCAGTACAATTCAGTGTTTCCCCTACCATTATATTAGGGGGGCGCCCCGCCCCCCCTACGGCACCTCTCGCCCCCCCTTGAAGGTCAAGTTAATTTTATTTAATTTTATTTTCTATATATCGCCAGATCACAACAGAAGTCATTTAAGGTTACCTTCCCTATAGAACAGGTCTATACATTGTCCTTTTATTAAACAAACTAAATAACCTTATGTTATTATTCCTATTTACACAACAGCTTGTCATTTTTGTCTCTACACGGTCGTGCGTTTACAATTCTCCTCTGCTCTCTGTATCACGCATGGCGGAGTTCTGCCCAGATTCACGTGCACAGACACATGCATGCCACACAGGTGAGCACAATCCCACCAGAGGACAGAGAGCGTGCGTCGGAAAATATGTTGCGTCAACTACCTGAAAAGCAGACAAAAACATCTTCGTTTTTTTAAATGCTCCCAGCGTGGTGAAGATGGCAACACTCGCTCTCAGAAGAGCCCAGAAAGATACTCTGCAGTGACAAAAGCTGCACACTTTGTGGATAATTGTCATAAAAAGAAATGTTCTGATGTTTAGTTCAGTTGTAATATTGACTGTTGTCATTAAAAGAAACACATGAACACCATGAATCCTGTCGGTGTCTGGCAGGTTGGCCGGCAGGTAGGTGGGCAGACAGACAGGCGGGCAAGCAGGTAGACAGATGGGCAGGCAGCCTCCCAGTCAAAGCACAGAGCCCTGCAGTCCAGGTCGATGGACAGAGGTACTCATTCAGCCCGAGTTTCTCCATTCAATTGGTCGCTCTTCAGTCACATTCAAAGGAGCTGGGCTGGTTTGCCTCGGGACTCTTTTGCCCTCCTGCTCTTTCTCATCCCAGCCGGAGCAGTGACTGCAGAAACCCCCAAACTTCCAAAGATCTACAATAGAACACGCCTCATGGTTCAGCGGCTCAATTCTCAGGTACCGACAGCAAGCGCCCTCAGGAAAAGGAGTGTTTAAATTAAGGACAAGGAAATTAAGGCAAGCCAAAGGGCACACGGGGGCGAAGCCCTGGGTGTCTGTGGCTTTAGCCTGCCGGCCAGCGGGGCCAGCAGCCCCAGACCAGAACGACTGGTGCTCCAGCAGCAGGCTGGCTGAGGGGTAGGTGAGCTCTCTATGGGGCCTCCATTAGACAGGGCTGCACAGACACTGACAAGCAGCATGGCAGGCAGACCTGTGCCCTGAGGCAGAACGCGGGAAAAGTATCTCGGACGATACATAAAACACAATGCTAAATAAAAAATAAACATGAAACAACTGTATCTCTTTCAGACATGCTTGGCTTCTTTTCAGTATCCACAAAAACAATCCAAATGTAACTCAGGTGTAATTGGTCATTTTTCAGCAAATTTTTTATTTAAATGAGCCCATTAGGACTCTGCACAATGGGTAGGTGGGGGGTGGAGGGAACCCGAGCCACAATTTAATTTAGCCGATGTCACTAGGCGCCTGTAACAAAACATATGCGAAAAATTAAGCTGCTGGCATTAAGGCTTATGCTGAGCACTTGTTAAAAGATGGGAAAACAGATTATTCCTGTTGGCACGTAGAGCTGCTTGTCCTCGCGGCTCCCCGCCCTGTCGCCCGCCGCTAAGCACTGCCAGATGGAAGCGTGGCGGCAGCCACGCTAACGACAGCTTAATCCAGCTCTCAGGACTACGGAGATCCTAGAGCTACTGCTGAACATAGATGGGTGGGGGGTGAAGGACGGAGCCGGAGCCCCAGGCCAGACCCCTGAGCTTATCTGACTCCTGACACTGTTTCACTCCTGAAGCTACAGCTGAACTACTTCTCCCAGGAGTGAGCAGAACATGTTGGCAAGCGGAGCTGTTAACCACTGCAGGCTGGTCCCCAGCGCTCACAGGTATCTCTGTGACACACATACAACCAGAGGTATCAAACACCTTTAGCACATAGTTTCTTTAGGTTAAATCACAACTCTGCCCACCTACAGTAGCAGAGCTGCAGAAAAAGAAGCAGGAAGTGAAGAGGTCCCTTGCCGGCTTAAAATGACCAACTGAACTACTGCTCAGCGCCCCTGCAATATCAAACAAACAGCCTGTTTCAGTTCCTCAGCGCCCCTGCCATATCAAACAAACGGCCTGTTTCAGTTCCTCAGCGCCCCTGCCATATCAAACAAACGGCCTGTTTCAGTTCCCTACTTATCAAAACTCTTCCATGGGTCTAAAACAAAAAGGAGGAAGACTTCGCAGCAAAAGATCTCAGAGCAAAATTAAATGCTACAGTTTGCACTCTCTCCTGAATCCTAAATGGCACGAACGCTGCTATGCCTGAACTTTAATAAGATTTGCTGGATCAATACGATACACCACACATGCAGGCGGAATCAGACCCCATGGAGATAAATCCATCTTACCTGTGTTACGCTCGATACTTCTGCAATTACAACATTGTACACTGGTTGGAAGACTGCATATGGTCACTAACTACACTCAGCAATTTCCACAAATCACTGGACTATGATAAAATTCAGAAACATCCAAATTAAACTTAACTGTAAAGCCCACGATGGCTCCCCTCTCAACACACAGACGCACCCAAGTGGGGAATGAATGTCACTGCTCTCCTATCTTAAGCACAGGTGTGGATATGAATTCTCACTGGAAACTAAGTATTCATGACATCATGCATCCTCACAGTATAGAGCCCAGACCATGTCACACAAAGCATGGGGCACAGGACAAGGTGTTCCTGAGCAGGATATAACAACATAAATGTTTAACCACACGTCAGCCAGTGAGAGTCTACAAAGTTCTGAATTAGAAATTCTACCTAATGTAAGACATCATGGCCCCATTTATTTGATTTAATTTCCAGAATGTTCGCTTACTCCTACCACCTGACAATTTAAATATTGCCATTGGACAACCTGGTGAATGCCAAATCCTCAACAAGCAGGCCTGCTCTCAATTTCTAGAAGAATAACGAAAAGTGACTATGCAGCAATACTGACCTCAGAAATCCTTATTAACTGTAGATTCATGGCAGCTGTGAATGTACCAGCCGATCAGCCAAAAAAAAGTGTTAAAATAAAGCAAAGTGCTCGGTTTCCGAGAAAGAGATTTTCTCCATTAAGATGGAGCTATTTGCTGAGACTGGGAAATAAAGTCAACTCTCACCCGTTAGAGATGTTCTGCAGCTGACGATTTCCTCAAAAGGACTATTATGGAATATAAATAAAGGCTTCCAAATAGGGAAGACTTCATAAGTTAAATTAAAAAAAATGTCAGAAAACTACATAGAACAGCCACATCTGGCTCATGGAATTTAATTTCAGACTAGTCTTATTTTCTACAAGTTATGCCAATTAAAATAGGTTAGAAATGGTAGAATGCAGGTTCTCAATACATCAAAAGTGGCCATGAAAACTTCTGAGGCTGCTTTTAATCAAATTTAAAATTGCCTACGATGCTTTTAATTAAGTACTGGGAAAATGGATCATCCCTACTGAGATTATACAAACATATGGCAATTGGTGCACCTTACACATGCTCACACAGACAGACACAAACAAGAGGGGGAGAAACAGGAGGCAATCTGACCTAAATACAGGCACGGCTTAAACATTAACACCACCCTCTGAAAAGGTGAAGAGCCAGATGGACAAGCCGGCTCATCTGTCTTCAAATAAGCCCATAACATATTTTCAGTCATTTACGGTTTTAATTGGATACACTTGTATGACTCTGAATTTAAAAAAAAACTTTACAGCATATGCTGATTTCTGTGCTATTGAATATTTATACTGCAAGCTGATGTGGATTAAAGAACGGCCAGGCTAGTGCAGTAAGCTCAGAGAGAACCTGATGAGGATGATTTGAACATCTAATCATGTAAATACTGGAACTACTCACCCATGGCTTTGGTCTCCTCTCCCTTGGCATTGAGGATGGAGAACTTAAATTTGGCACGGACTTCCGCCTTTGGACAGCTGACCAGGAGCAAATACAGGGACAGGTAGTCTTTGCTCTCCTCATCCAGGCCCTTGGGGTTCACTCGCAAACACCTACGAACATATTGTACAGCACCCCCTCAATTCCAATCCCAGAATGCCTGACAGCCAATCAGAAACCGCTTACATTTTTGTATTTCCAAACAAAGACCTGGGACGGGGAACCAAAATGTCTATACAGTCATCATCTGCCTCCAGGACCAATTCATGTCATGTTCTTTCATGGGGGTTGTAACAAAGTAGAAATTAATGTACGCTTCAGCGTGTTTTTCCACCGCATCAGACACCGAACCGTTGGTACTTCGAGAACTTCAAGGTGTTGGTTTCCCAGTGGCATAAAAACTGGTACCGGCGCTAAATAACATCACCACATGGTGGGGTATTTTTTACTGAAATCGAAAAATGGCTATTTTTTATATTATAATAGTATATTATGGGGCTGGATGATGTGCAATATTAATACTAACAATCATAATCATTTTCATCATTGCAGTTTAAATTACTCAAAAACAGGTTTGTGAGAAATTTATTAACTCCTTTTTTAAATTTTTTTTTTTATAAATACTCCTACTATAAATATTTATTACAACAAAATCACATCGCTATATTTATAACAAAAGCATATTCTTAGGACAGCAAGCATTGTATTAGTATATTAAACAAAACACTATTTCCATTTCTTGTCATGCCATCCAGATCTTTTTGTCGTATATGTTCTTACAATCAAATCATTATATATATATATATATATATATATATATATATTTTTTTTTTTTACCTTGTTTATCATTATTTTCAGAGATCGTCACTGTTTTCAAGACGACATTTGTATTGTGTTACAGAGGCAGGCTATATGCATAACCAATCGACAAAGAAAGCGTTTCAAGTCCCACCCCAAAGTACCAAAGAAGTATCCCAGCTGGTTTGGCACTTTCAGTACTGGAACTTTTGGTATCGGTACTCAACCAGAAGTCAATGGAAAAGCAAAAGTACCAAAAAGTACTGTACTTGGTGCGGTGGAAAAGCACCCTTAGACTCTGGCTTACTGATGTCAACTCGCAGAATGAAAATACTGACAAAACACAACGTTCAAAGCTCTTCCCCTGAAAGGCATCTCCAGCAGCGAGAACAACTGAGTTGTAAATTAAGGCTGTTTTATTGAGAATCTTAGCAGCAGATGAAGGCTGACATTATTTTCCCCTTGGCGAGTTAATCTGATGGACTGTCGACTGAACGGCAAGCACTACAAAGCTCTGACGAATCATAACAGCCACATCTCCTTAAACACCCCCAAAAGCCAACCCCACACACCATTTAAGCTTGTCGTTGGCTCCAGAGGAGAATGTTGAGCTCTTGATGACTTCACCCATTTCCTCACGGCAGAAGCTGAAATTGTTGATTGTCCACATGTAGGAGAACTTTACGACTTTAATCTGAGAAAAAATGCACAACAGGGGGAAATCAAGAGAGAGGGAAATAAATAATAAAATACAGAAAGAATAAACACAGCTTTGTCCAGTTTAAATGCACAGTTCAAAGCCCAAACTGCTGGTTGGTACAGGTATAGGATTATTATAGGTTATTTTTCCCCTCTCCTTTTCCTATGGAAAAGACAAGAAAGAACAAAACTAAGGCTGTGGAAAACAGACACCAGGTCAGTGTTGGGCAGTCTGCAGGTGTGCGAGACTAGGCCTTGTTCGCACCTTTTACACCATCCCACATACCAGCTACTCCTCCTTTTCCACATCAGTACACCTAGCTGTCCACTTGACCAAACGATATGTACACAAACTACATGCTCTGCAGTAATGCAAGCACTCAGAACTAATGCACACAGACACACACATTTACACTTATTTATCTGGCAGACACCCCCTCCAGAGTGGCATGCAAGACAGGGAGATAATTCACAAAGACAGACACACATTCTCTCTCTCTCTCTCTCACACACACACACACAGACTGGCATCCCACCTGAGTGTAACACCAGCTCTCAGCCACGGGCCCGCTTGACATTTCCGCGGGGGGAGGAGGACTCGGTACTCTTGACATCACCAGCTTTGACAGCAGGAGAGCGCGGCAAGAGCACCCAGGTCCCAGGAAGAAGTTTTAAGTGGCTCTAAACTGCTAAGCCAGCAGGTGAATGGGGACTCAAGGAACAAACGGGCTGCTTTGTCCTATAAAACAAAAGGAAATAACCTCTGAGAAATTGAGTGCCTCAGCCGTGCGATCTCAAACTCACAAAGTCGTAACTGAACACCGATGGCTGCATTGGCAAAGGACTGAGAATCTGCGAAAACAGGCACAATGGGCAAATACGGCAGACATGCTAATGAAACAAACACATCCCGTGGTCCCGCGAAAGCTGAGGTGGTGGTCACACCTTCGCTAGGTGGGACAGAACTTCTGTAGAAAGGAGTTCGTCTAAATGAATCGACTGTGAATGCAGATCACACCGCTTCCAGGAATGAACCCCTTTGCACAGGTGTTTTTTTTTTTTTTTCTTTTCAGAGATTGATTGCTGAAACAGTTTACAGTTCACTGAAGAAGCTACACTGCCCGGCCAAAAAAAATATTTGAGTTTTTTATTGGACCGCCTTTAGCTTTGATTATGGTGCACATTTGTCATGGCATTGTTTCACCCTTGAACATCTCACCCTTTATTTTCATCCAGATTTGCATTCATTTCTCACCGAGATACTGTATTGACAAGTGAATTGAACCAGCCTCCTTCAGCACATCCAAAAGACCTTCAATGAGGTTAAGGTCATAACTCTGTGGTGATCAAGTCATGCGGGAAAATGATTCCTCATGCTCCCTGAACCACTCTCTGACCATTTGAATTTAATGAATCTTAGCATGCTTGTCCTGGAATATGCCCATGCCAACAGGAAAGAAAAAATCCATTGATTATGGATGGAGGTGTAACCTGGCCATTCAGTAGATTCAGGTACTCAGCTGACTTTACTTTATTGCTGCATAACGTTGCTGAGCTGTAATAATGATCCAGTCATTGGCTCAAGTATTTGCTGATATAAATTCAAATGACATAATTTTTTTTTGGCCTGGCAGTGTATCAGAGCACTTCTGAGCATTAAGCAAATTATCAAAACAAGATCAACTCGAGGTTCCCCGTGCTGCCAGCAGTCTGGCACAACAGTCCTTGGCAGAGCCCAGCATCGGTAGAGCAGAGCCATGCAACGTGCTGGCATTTCGTTCCCACAGACAGCTGCCATCTCAACAAATTGTCCCTGATCTCTTCAGGACAGCTGTGGATCGATGGCCGTGTGGCGAGCCAATTGATACCGGCCGCTGTAGTAATTAAGGCTCAAAATGAACAGTAAATAAACAGGGGAGGCCAAGCGTATCAGCCTGTGAAGAAAAGCAAGATGCACGACAGCCTCTCTACTGTTTTAGCTAATCAGTAATAATCAGTGCTGTTTCACTAACAACCTCGCCAGGTAGTAACAACCGCATAGAAATGAAGCTGTTGAAAAGGCAGCTTTATAATTACTTTCCCATAACACACACATTAAAACCCTTTCTTTATAACTCACAGACTACTAGTCACATTTCATGTATGCAGTAGGTTATTAGTCTGCTGTGCCCGCAGTAATTTTTTTGATGCTACATGGTCTTAATGGCCATTTACTGGAACTTTATACTTCCACCTGTTAATTGAAACCTAATGCAGACCTGAAAATACCTGTCTAGTTCTGATGTTCCAAAGCTCAATTTCTGCCCTCAAAACCAGAGGTGTCTGAATTCACAGGTCACATCATTTACCACCAGCTCCATTGCATTTCTCACCCAGCCAGCATAAATCCCCTAATTTGACAACAGCCCATTGATCCTCTCACTATCTAAAGTCAACCCTGCAGCAAAAGGTCACAAATTCTGTCTTTTGTAGCCATTCTCTAGAGGAAAATTGAAAAGCAAGTTCTGAAGCAGTGAGAACATAGTGAGCACAGGCGACGAAAGTGAGCCTTTTCAGAGGCAAGGCAGATACAGAGGTCAAAAATGCATTATACCACAAGCAAGTTTACAGGCTCTCACATGATATATTTACATTAGACACATACTTCCATCTCTAGCTCCTGGGTTCATACTCTTATTATAATACCAAATAAAATATGCAGCAAAAAAAAATAAACTGCTAGCCATGATGAACAACAAAATTTCACAGCTACAGCTACTGCAAATCATTGGTTACAAGATGAATCAGGAGCTGAGCTATATGTATGAAGGATAATTGAACTAGGTGACCCCTACGTCACATTTGTCATGGGCAACTATGAACTCGTGACCACAGTTACTGGGGAGAAACAACAGCAACACCAGCAAGAGAAATTACCTATTAAAATCAAACACAAAAATGAACTCGGTATAAAAGGGAAAAAATGAAGAATAAGAATATTAAGTAATGTATGACCTAAATATACAGTAAGATGACCTGGATTATAAGACGATCACCCACTTTTTGACAACTATTTTTTAGAAAAAAAGTTTTTGGAATCTTACCTTTATAAAAAAAGGTGTTAATACGAACATATAAAAACTTAAACAGTAACCACTACTGAAAAAGAAACCACAGGCAATCTGATTACAATAAGTGGATTAATATTGCAAAAAACAAATGTATTTTACATATACATACATATATACATATATATACACACACACATACATACATATATATATACACAGTATACATATATACATACATACATATATACACACAGTATACATATATACATACATATATACATACAGTATACATACATATATACATACAGTATAC